CCAGCAATGGAAGTGTCCAGTTCTCACGGTGGACGTGGAGATGTTCTCCATTTTATGGGTTTAAATGATGAAAAGCATTGACTTTCTTGCGTTTTCCTGCATTTCTCCTCCAGTGCAGAGTCTGTTCACACTGAGGCGACTAAAACTGCAGGTCAAAAGGTGAAATTAATGCTCTGACTGTGGAAGTGGTGGTGGAGGGCGCGCGTGGGGTTTATAACCTCGCTTAACCCCGCATCTCTCTCTCTCTCTCTCTCACTCACTCATGGGGAAAATGAGGGCTGTTCATTTCTGCATCCTGACCCAGACATCACCCAACGGCACCCACCTTACCCAGCATGCCCTGCTGATTTATGGATGAGAACCAATCACCAGCCATAAAGAGCAGCTAGGATGGGCTTGCGTGTGGAATGGTAATGTCATATATATGCAGAGCAGCACACATCTGTCTGTGACGGGCCTTGAGAACGGCAGACACGCCTCGTAAGATTTTTACATCACACAGCACACTTTAATATTGCACTTTACACGGACACTTTATTGGAAACCTCTGTATTGTAACTTGCTGGAGTTCAGCTAGAGACTGCAGCTTATCTGTCGATGTACAGTTTGTTAGCCATCCTCTAGTCGTTCATCAAAAGTCAGTTTCTGGATATTATTTTAGCAGTGCATCTCTCTGAGAAGGGGAATAGTCTACCACCTAAAGAAGATCTAGAACAGTGGTCCTGTGGTAAAAAAAGTGATGAATCAGTGATGAATGGTGTTGAGTGGGGGCAGCAACAGATGGACTACAGTTTGTAAAACTGTAAACCTACATATTGGAGCTATAGGGTAGGTGTTTCTAATAAAGTGGCCAGTTAGTGGAGGTACAAGGTAGGTTTTTCCAATAAAGCGTCCAGTGAGTAGAAGCACAAGGTAGGTGTTTTTAATAAAATGGCCAGTGAGTGAAAGCACAAGGTAGGTGTTTCCAATAAAGTGGCCAATGAGTAGAAGCACAAGGTGGGTGTTTCTAATAAAGTGGCCAGTTAGTGGAAGCACAAGGTAGGTGTTTTTAATAAAATGGCCAGTGAGTGAAAGCACAAGGTAGGTGTTTCCAATAAAGTGGCCAGTGAGTAGAACTAAAGGTGTGTGTTTCTAATAAAGTGGCCAGTTAGTGGAAACACAAGGTAGATGTTTCCAATAAATTGGCCAGTTAGTGACAGTACAAGGTGGATGTTTCTAAAAAAGTGACCAGTGAGTGGAAGCGCAAGGTAGGTGTTTCTTATAAAGTGGCCTCTTAATGGAACCACAGTGTAGGTGTTTCCTATAAAGTGGCCAGTTAGTGGAAGCACAACGTGTAGGTGTTTCTAATAAAGAGAACAGCTCCTTATATTCTGTTTGTTAGTCTGGAGTAGGTGAAGAATCAGCTTCTGCCGTCTTTCACTCAGTTCTTCTATAATGTGCTGATAAATAAACTCGTGTTTTGAATCCTATGGTGCTCCGTCATCTGGTCAATAATGTGTCTTATATTGAAGCAATGTGACCAAACAACAAATTGAAAGCCATTATCTGCAAGAAATGACAACTGTGCTCCCCATCTGTATGGATTTTCTCCAGTGGAGCGGCGAGAGACGATGATAGAAGGCTTGTTTCTTCATTTTTCTGATTCCGAATGAGGTGAAAGTTTATCTTGCATTTCTGAAAACAGGATTGTGACCTTCGCTGGCTTGCTCCGTTAAGCTTCGGCATTTCATTAGGAAAGCTTGTCTCTTGGAAATGGCAACTTTTATAAAAGAAGGAAAACATGTTCTTAATTTTAATATACGTTTATGCACTGAGATTTCAGTCCAAGTGCTTTTGGAGCGTTTCTGTATGTCATTTATTACAATATTCACACAATGTAAAGAACAGCTGGTGTTGTCAGATGGTGTAAAGTAGATAAATAAACCCCCAAAAAAGGGATTCCTTTGACAGCTATGATTTGTTACTCACAGACAGGTTCTTCTCTTGTCACAGCGCAGCTCATGCTGCTGGGCTTTATTTGATCTCAACAGTAAATCGTTTAGTATAAACTCTCTCAGAACGCCTGCTGCAATTAAAATGCTAAATATCTCTACGACCACGCAATACAAATTCTACAGAACTACTGCAGAGATGTTTATCTTGTGACACCATGTATAATGTGATTAGACAGAACTGTTAATTCATTTATTTTTATGTTGAGGTGTCAGTTGCAGATCCAACAAGACGTTAAAAGAATATTAAAGCATTATTTAACGCTACATCTAATCGCGTCTGCGCTGTACGGTTGATTACAACAGATAATGTTGGTGTGTTTCCAAGTTTTTAGAAAAGAACCAAAACTAGTTCATTTACACATTTTAGAATTGTAGTAAACGTCAATGTGCAGTTCATGAATAGACACGAAATGCATGACTATATAATGAAAACTTGAAATTACAGCTGCTGTACACTTACAATACTGGTGTGGAGAGGAATTCAAACCAAAATGAAAAGCAATCAGTACAGAGGAAAAACAATGCATGCATGACATTACTGTCCCATAGCGACACACAGAATACATTACAAAATGAAAAATAAACCCTTTATTGCACTGTTTTCACTTTACTTGACTTTACTAAAAACAACACATGAGGATTTGCATTTAAAGAATGAAATGTCAGAACTGGATACAGTCTGCTTTAACATGTAAAGAAGGCACTACTGTACTGCTTTACACTGGGCACACTATAAAAAATAATATCTTAAGTGTAAACATCTTAAATGTGGTCAATAAATCTAATATTCCTCATTATGAGTCTGTTGTAAGAATATTATTAGATTATTCCACCTGTTTCTGTACATTTTTACTTGTTTTAAGTGATTTTATCTGGTGTCTTATTCCATTGGCAGATTAGTTTTTGTTTCGAGAAATAATGAAGATAATTTTGCTTATTTCAAGAAATAATGCTTGAAACAAGTAACATGATCTGCCAATGAAACAAGACACTTTGAAGTGTAGCTAAAACAGTGAATTGCTATGCACACAAGATTGCATTTAACGTATGCATGCATTTAATGTATGCATGCAGAAAATGTGCCAAAATGAAAAGTTAAACATACATTACACTGATTTAACTGTGCTGTACAGTAGAAAGCAGTATATTTGTGCTTTTATGACATTTTAAAGTGGATTGTATTCAGTTCTGACACAAATTCAGCATTTCATTAAAATGTAAATCCTCATGCATTGTTCAGTAAAGAAGTCAAGTGAAGTGAAAACGGTGCAATAGAGGGTTTGTTTTCCATTTTGGCTCATATTCTGCTTGTCACTGTGGAACAATAATGCAATGTGCGCTTTGTTATTCATGATTTTCCACTGTAGTCATTGCTTTTCAATCTGGCATGAATTCCTCTCCATAGTAACGATGAGACAAACTGAGAGAATGTCTTAATGAAGTTTTATCCACCCTTACAGCACTGAAGCAACACAGTCACAGTAAACAAGCAGTTTCCCTTAGGCTGGCTTTACACAGTGAAACGTTCATGCAACTAGTTGCATATCGCTGTTGTCGGACAAAAACCTCGTTTCACCATTTTTGCCATTTCTCAGTTTTTGACATAATTCGAAAATACCTGTTGTCCTTTACATTGTGTGTAAATTTCATTATCATTCTCACTATAAAGTCACCTGTGGGGTGTTATTTACATATTTGCAGCATTTTTATCATCTTGAATTTTGTCCCGCTGTCATTGCTGTTCTTTATATATATACATATCTGTCTCTGGTCTATCTATCTATCTATCTATCTATCTATCTATCTATCTATCTATCTCTAGGGTTCTTTACCATATTTTTGAGTTTTTATCTGTTTTGCCTGTTGAAAATGAATGTTATTAATGTTTAAATAGTCATTATGGTTATACCTGTTATGTCTCACTCATCTTGTCCTAGACGCACACCCAGTTCATCACTTGTCCCAGTCTACCCTTCAGTCTTCACCCATCAAATAAACCATCCTCTGCTTTTTCTTGTCCGCTGATCCAATGAAATCAATCGTTTGATGTCATGCCGTTCAACATAATCACATGATGAGCTATCGTTGATTTGATTGGCTGTTGCATGAAACTTGCAACTCATTTGAAACTCAGTGGCAACAGTGTTTCAAATGAGTTGCAGGATGTTTTACCATATGCAACTCAAGTGCAATTTAGTTTCATGTAAGTTTCAAGCAACCAACATTGCGTGAAAGTTTTATCATGTAAAGCAAGCATCCATCCATGGCATCCATCGTGATCAGACTACAACTTGTTCCTTGTGGAAAACTACAAAGAATGATAGATTTTCAGCTTAATTTAGAAACACCTTTAACAGAGAATTTCAAAAAAAATTCCAAAAAAATGTTAGGGGTTGATTAGGTGGTCATTTAGTAGGGCAATGTCCCACCAACCATCATCATGCCCCACTAAGTGAAACTAAGCTTTTGTGCATGTGTAAAAGTCCTTGCAGGCTTATTATTAATTTATTAATATTCATTGTCCAGTAACTAGTATAAATCTAGTTCTGTCATTAAGAGAGGAACTGAACCCTCAAGCAGGTCTCAGATTAAGAGGTTAACAAAAGGAGTTTTGTGTTTATTATTTTATGTTGGCTGTATTTTAGGGGTCGCAGGTTGTGGGAAGTTATTTCCTAAATTAGTTGGTGATTTGCTGTAAATGTGGCTGTCTTGTCAATTCTGTCCAGAATATGTGGCACCTTTGGACAGACCTGCTGTAGATTTCTCTGCCTGTATCTTCCTCTCTGTTTTTTTTTTTTTCTGCCCCTGGTCTTAGAATGCTCCCCTGATGGTGCCAGGTTTGCAGCTGCCCAATGGTTTCTATTAATAATGAGTTTTCATGTCTTTCTGCTATCAATCATGCAGACAGAGATTAGGTTGAAAACCCACTTTGAGCTTCTCTCTCTCACACACACTCTCTCTCTCTCTCTCTCTCTCTCTCTCTCTCTCTCTCTCTCCCCTCTACAGATTCCTGTCCAATATGTCATTTGATGGTCTAACAGGCCAAATTCAGGTTCAGCATTGGCACTCCAGAGTCCTAACCACCCAGCGCTTCCACATATGGAGCCTGCAGAGGGATGCTATGGGTCAACCAAGTTGGGTGACCGTGGCTGGCTATCAGGCTGGCCGCCTGGAAGTGGAAGAACAGGGCCTTTGGCCCGGAGTGACCCAGCGTGTGTCAGATGAAAGCCCCGGAATCCATCCTGGAGGCCGCTGGCAGCCTGGACTCCCGGTGGCTGGCAGCAGACTTCGCGTTGTGACCTTAGTGGAGCATCCATTTGTTTTTACGAGAGAAGTGGATGATGACGGTCAATGTCCAGCTGGCCAGCTGTGCTTGGACCCTCATACCAACAGCTCGGATGTTCTAAACCACCTTTTTAGGGAGCTGGAGCAAGCAAATAGCAGCAGCAGTAGCAACTCCATCCCTTCTGAGATTCGCAAGTGTTGCTACGGCTACTGTATAGACCTTCTGGAGAAGCTAGCGGAGGACATGCAGTTTGAGTTTGACCTCTATATCGTAGGTGACGGTAAATATGGAGCGTGGAAAGGGGGCAGATGGACCGGGCTGGTGGGGGACTTGCTCAGCGGAGCGGCCGACATGGCCGTCACAAGCTTTAGCATCAACTCAGCACGTAGCAAAGTCATTGACTTCACCAGCCCGTTCTTCTCCACCAGCCTGGGCATTCTGGTGCGAAGTAAAGACACAGCCGCCCCGATTGGGGCCTTCATGTGGCCTCTGCACTGGTCAATGTGGGTTGGGATCTTTGTGGCGCTTCATATAACGGCCCTTTTCCTCACGCTGTATGAGTGGAACAGTCCCTTTGGCATGACGCCACATGGACGAAACCGTGTCCGGGTCTTTTCCTACTCGTCCGCGCTCAACCTCTGCTACGCCATCCTGTTTGGCCGGACAGTGGCCAGCAAAACGCCAAAGTGCTGGACAGGACGCTTTCTGATGAACCTTTGGGCTATTTTCTGTCTGCTGGTTCTGTCCAGCTACACGGCTAACTTAGCAGCGGTCATGGTGGGAGAAAAAACCTTTGAAGAGGTTTCAGGGATTCATGATGCAAAGGTAAGACGCTGCATTGATCTGTCTTTAACGGTATCTTTAAAATGTCCAGAAGCCAGTAGTTTTACTGCTGTTTACATGTTTCGCTGTTGTTTACTTGTGCTTTGCTATTTTTTACTTCTGCTATGCAATAGTTTGTTTGTTTTGTTATTGTTTACTTGTGCTTTGCTATTGATCGCTTGTGCTTTGCTATTGATCGCTTGTGCTTTTCTATTGATCGCTTGTGCTTTGCTATTGATCGCTTGTGCTTTTCTATTGATCGCTTGTGCTTTTCTATTGATCGCTTGTGCTTTGCTATTGATCGCTTGTGCTTTTCTATTGATCGCTTGTGCTTTGCTATCGTTTACTTGTTCTGCTATCTTTTACTTGTGCTTTGCTATCATTTACTTGTGTTATGCTATGCTTACTTGTGCTTTGCTATCGTTTACTTGTGCTCTGCTATCGTTTACTTGTTTGCTGTTGTTTACTTGTGCTTTGCTATGTTTACTTGTGCTTTGCTATCGTTTACTTGTGCTTTTGCTATGTTTACTTGTGCTTTGCTATCGTTTACTTGTGCTATGCTATCATTTACTTGTGCTTTTGCTATGTTTACTTGTGCTTTGCTATCGTTTACTTGTGCTATGCTATCATTTACTTGTGCTTTTGCTATGTTTACTTGTGCTTTGCTATCGTTTACTTGTGCTATGCTATGTTTACTTGTTTTGCTATTGTTTACTTGTGCTATGCTATTGTTTACTTGTGCTTTGCTATGGTCTACTTGTGTTTTGCTATCGTTTACTTGTGCTATGCTGCCGTTTACTGGTGCTATGCTGTCGTTTACTGGTGCTATGCTGTCATTTACTGGTGCTTTGCTATCGTTTTACTGGTGCTTTATCGTTTACTTGTGCTCTGCTATCGTTTACTTGTGCTCTGCTATCGTTTACTTGTGCTCTGCTGTCATTTACTTGTGCTCTGCTATCGTTTACTTGTGCTCTGCTGTCGTTTACTTGTGCTCTGCTGTCGTTTACTTGTGCTCTGCTGTCATTTACTTGTGCTCTGCTATCGTTTACTTGTGCTCTGCTATCGTTTACTTGTGCTCTGCTGTCGTTTACTTATTCTATGCTGTCGTTTACTGGTGCTATGCTGTCATTTACTTGTGCTTTGCCATCATTTACCTGTTTTGCTGTAGTTTACTTTTGCTACTGTATGTGTTTTACATATATGTAGTTATGAAATAATAGCAGACACTGAATGAGCTGAATAACTTGTTTAACAGACTTATAAAGTGCCAGATCCAAAAAAATGGACAGCATAACTGTCCCTTCGTTCGAATGCTGATTTAACACATGAAGTAATCAGTGACCTAATCTTTTATGTTACTTTAATTACACCACATTACAATCTCATTATCCCACACGGTTTGAGGCGAGTGATGATTTGCGTTAGCACCCTGCTAATTAGTGTACATTACTTATTACCACAAAAGCCTCATTGTTCCAGTCTTAAAACTAAAGAAACGAACCTAAGACACCAAACATGCCTCGGCTGATGAACTACAGTTGAAGTAAAGGGGACATTCTGAGCCAGTTCCTTTAGGAGGAGCTGTCACACCCACTGCTGTGATTAGTTTCTGCATTTGAGTCTTCTTGATGGTGATTTATTTGTCTTTCATATCTATTTTTTCAGAGAGAGCAAATCTGTAAAAAAAAAAAAAATGAAGTCTGACTCCTGGTATAACGCTGATATACTGAAGAGCCTCTGTCTGATTTATGTGTCCGTTTTGATTAGTTTTGATTCTTGTTCTGGGAAAGAGATCTGGATACAGTATAATTTCACAGGAGAACTGAGTGCAGTATAAGGAGCACCGGAAAAAATGGCTTGACAGACAACAATACATTCCGCCTCTCCGCCTCTCTGGTTGTTTGACTTGAACAGACTCGTTCTCGAAACATCTGAACCTGAAAACGTCTGAATCCACTTTAGACTCCCTGGCCACTTTATCAGAAACTCTTCTGTTGTAGCTCCACCTGGCTGCTGTATAGTTACAGACTGCAGCTCATCTGTGCAGTTTGTATTGTCCATCCTCTTGTCCTTCATCAGTGGTCAATTTTTGAACACAGAGCCACTCTGGGCTGGATATGTTTGGGTGGTGGTCCACTCTCAGGCTAGCAGTGACTCTAAGATACACACTCGTACCAGCACCACACATACACACACACACACACACTACCATCTCAGCATTACTGCTGCGGTGAGAATGAACCACCACCCACACAACATCTGGACAACAGCAGCCCTGTGGTCAGAAACTGACCAATGAAGAATGGAGTAAAGGGGCTGATTCGCTGTACAGCAAGAGATGGACTACAGTCTGAAATGAAACATCTATATAGAGGAGCTATAAGGGAAGTGTTTCTAATAAAGTGACCAGTTAGTGGAAGTACAGGGTAGATGTTTCTAATAAAGTGGCCAGTTGGTGGATGTACAAGGGAGGTGTTTCTAATAAAGTGGCCAGTTGGTGCATGTACAAGGGAGGTGTTTCTAATAAAGAGGTCAGTTAGTGGAATTACAAAGTAGGTGTTTCTAATAAAGTGGCCAGTTGGTGGAAGTGCAAGGGAGGTGTTTCTAATAAAGTGACCAATTGGTGGAAGCACAAGGTAGGTGTTTCTAATAAAGCGGCCAGTTAGTGGAAGGAAAAAATAAGTGTTTCTCAAAGTGGCCAGCAGTGTAAACTGACACCATGCTGCTCAGAATGCATCTTGAGTCCATGTAGTCATTCTTTATGGTTCTGTCCCAAATCTCTTTGTTGAGGGAAAATCCAGTTTTATCCTGTGGGGAGTGCTGTAGATCCAGGTGTTTGTTCCTGCTGTAACCCTGTGCTTTGGTGTGTTCCTCTGGTGTACGAGTCTGCGGTACTGAGAGCCTGTAGAGTGTTTGATCATCTAAAAAGGACCACTCAGAATAAAGTGTCATCACTTTTTAACTTCTCTTAACTCATTACGTCACTTCTGCCAGCGTGAGCATTAACACAAATCAGCACATTAATCTCATCTTTCTCTGCTCTAACCTTGGTGTGTCTCCTTAATTAAGATACAGGAAAGAACCTTCTAATTAAAAACTAAGTTACATGAAGAGACAAAACACAGTGTAGTGGAAAAAGGCTGATAAAAAAATTGCATTAATTACCAAATGTCTCACATTCGTTCAAATAAAATATTAGATATATAATGAACATTTACCTCTCCGTGGTTCTTCATGCTCATTGGCCCTTCTAAAATGCCATTAGCTAGAATTTTAAAGCATGTACCTTAACCAGTCACTGCTTATTCTGAAGAAAAGAATGCAGATGTTAAGAGAGTCTGAGAAGTGAGTGTTCAGTTTAGTTTCCTGTTTTATTAACCCATTTAAACCCACCAGTCACAACTGTGACAAATTTTTGAGTTTGTGAAGCTCTGAAAGAGTTATTAATATACTATATGGACAAAAGTATTAGGACACCTACAGGAGCTTTTATGACTCCCATTCTAAATCCATAGGCATTAATATGGAGTTGGTCCCCTTTGCAGCTCTAACAGCTTCCACTCTTCTGGGAAGCTTCTACAAGATGTTGGAGAGAGTCTGTGGGAATTTCTGCCCATTCATCCAGAAGAGCATTTGTGAGGTCAGACACTGATGTTGGACGAGAGGGTCTGGCTCACAATCTCCGTTCTAGTTCATCCCAAAGGTGTTGGATGGGGTTGAGGTCAGGTCTCTGTGAGGGCCAGTCAGGTTCTTCCACTCCAAACTCACCCAGTCAGGCCTTTATGGAGCTGCTCTGTGCTCTGGGGCTCAGTCATGCTGGAACAGGAAAGGTTCTTCCCCAAACTGTTCACACAAAGTTGGAAGTGAACAATTGTCCAAAATGTCTTGGTGTTGAGTCATTAAGATTTCCCTTCACTGGAACTAAGGGTTCTAGACCAACCCCTGAAAAACAGCCCCATATCATCATCCCTCCTCCACCAAACTGTACAGCTGGCACAGTGCAGTCAGGCAGGTAACGTTCTCCTGGCATTCGCCAAACCCAGACTCGTCCATCAGACTGACAGGGAAGCTGATTCATCACTGCACAGAATACGGTTCCACTGCTCCAGAGTCCAGTGGCGGCGCTTTACTCCACTCCATCTGACGCTTGGCATTGTGCTTGGTGATGCAAGGCTTGTGTGCAGCTGCTCAGCCATGGAAACCCTGCCATGAAGCTCTTGATGTGCAGTTTCTGTGCTGATGTTGAGGCCAGAGGAGGTTTGAACTCTGCAGTTATTGATCAGCAGAGTGTTGGTGTCTTTTATGCTCTATGCTCCTCAGCGCTCAGAGACCCGCTCTGTAACTTTACATGGTCTGACACTTCGTGGCTGAGTTGCTGTGGTTCCTAAATGGTTTCACTTTTCAATAATACACTCACAGCTGATCGTGGAACATCTAGGAGGGAGAAAATGTCACAAAGTCAAAGTGCTTTGAATTTAAATATACATGAGTGGTGTAAATAGTAACATGACTACAGCCATTACTTCACGTACACATCCGAGAAAGATGAAGTCAGGAAAATGATATTGAGATGCAACTACAATATTTGGTGCTGATAATCTTAAAAGGTCTTTTATTAAAAATCTAATTAAATCGCACCACCATTATTGTTATATGATGCTCACAGTGCTGTTGATAATCCTCATTATTTGTTGTTATCTTTCATATTTCTGATGTTTCGGACATGCTGGAGCATGATGTCCCAGCAAAGACCACATGCAACATTCCTATTATTATATCACTCACTGTTTCTGTGTGTTTCACACATTTTCAGCAACTTTTCCAAAATAATTTATGAAAAAGGTGTGCAGTCTGTGTCATGGGGCTTTCCAAGGAGTATGTGGTCACATAGCTGAGGAGAAGTTGGGATTAAATGGGCTAAAACAGGCTTTTCTTCTTAACTTCTTCAGCGCAGCAGTAGCATTAGCATAAATCACCACATTTCTCATTCTTTCTCTTCTCTAACCTTGGCGCGTCTCCTAAATTGAGGTCCAACAGGGAACCTTCTAATTAGGAACTCAGCCACATGACGGAGGCTAAATACGGTGTAATGGAAAAGTCCAAATCTAATAATAGTTTGGCATTAATTCTCAAAACACCACTAATTTAAAATGTTATTACTAGAAAACTAATTTTCATAAGTTTAAGTATGTCGCTTTTGTCAGATCAAAACCTCGTATCTCCAAAATGGTAACTTTACAGGAGATGGAAAAACATACTTTACTTTTAATGTAAGTCAATGGAACCAGATTTTTTTCCAAGTCATTTTGGCTCGTTTTTTTTAGTCCATTCATTATGAAATTTAAACACAATGTAAAGAGCAACAGGCATTTTCAAATTATGACAAAAAATGGAGATATGAGGTTTAGAATATTATTAGATTATTCCACCTGTTTCTGTACATTTTTACTTGTTTTAAGTGATTTTATCTGGTGAAAGTGTTTTATTCCATTGGCAGATTAGTTTACTTGTTTCGAGAAATAATGATTAAAACAAGTAACATGATCTGCCAATGAAATAGACACTTTTATAAGATAAAACTGTTTAAAACCAAGTAAAAACATCTAGAAATAAGTTAAATAATCTCACAATGTTCTAACGATAATTTCATAATGAGAAATATTAGATATATTCACTACATTTAAGATGTTTAGACTTGCTAAGATATTATTTTGGCAGTGTACAAATCAAGTGAGAACTAGTTTTAAACACAGCTTTAACTATTTATCATGTTTTACTGCTTGGCTGGAAGAAAAGCTCAGAATTTTTTTTTTATCGGAATAAAAATGCACTGATGCTTTGTAACACATTGATCTGAAGGTGGCATTTCAAATGTTAGATTTGACTGTAATAACATTTAATAAAGTACAGGCTCATTTTTGTTCAAAATAAAATTCTAAAGCTGGTGAGTGACATTTGTGGCATTTCCACCATACCAGGTGTCACAACCCAAATGTTAAGAAGAGCCATTTTGTCCTTTCAACAAAAATCAAATCACCTTGGGAGCCTCAACATTTTGTCATTTTACCATCTTGGCTGTAAATCTGTCTCAGTATGTGCTGATGTTCCAGTATAGGATAAAATATAAATGAAAACACAGACTTACTTTGCTCTACTTTAAGCTTTAGCTCAGATACAGCCGCTTTTCTCGCATCTCCAGCAGGAAACTTTTCCTTAAGTAGAACAGTTTCTTGTAAAATGTCTCTCAACGTTTGAGTTTTTACGAGGGCTGAAGTCGCTTCTCATTCTCCAGCTTCTAGTTCACATTTTCCCTTTCCACCTTAAATGGTGCCTGAGGCGCCAGAATGTAGCTACCTATATAGCTGACTGCTGCACCATTTAAGGTGGAATGGGAGAATTCGAACAAGAAGCTGGCGAATGAGAAACTGACTACAGCCTTGCGACTTTTTAGTGTTTGTCAGTTTCTCACTGCAGATTAAGCGTATCAGGAAACCAGCTGGAGTGATTATAAACACAAATAAATCTGTTCATCTCCAAATTATCAATGTTCGTCTTAAATCTTTCTCTTTGTCGTTTCGTTAGCTACTAGCTAGGCGAGATTGTTGTCTGCGTTGCTATGGTGACCAGCAGTCTGTGCTGATCCTCAGTGTTAAAGGGTGAATTAGCAGTTCTACATTAACTCCAGAGTTTAAGACCATTTATTGTTAAACTGTGTTGAACGATCAGCAGAGCTTTATTTTACTGTAAAGGAGGATTATTTTATTTTTACCTACAAATCTGATTCAGCTGTGGAGCAACAGGGCACTAAAAGAGCCACATGTTGCCGACCCCTGCAATACACTTTCTAAATAGTTCCTCCAGTTATATTAGTATGTTCAGTGTATTTTTAAACTAATTTTAAACTGTACTGAAATAATCTAGTCAAAGTTGTGCTGAAATGTGAGATTTTATCCTGCATCGAACTGTTTACTAAAGAATCACAACTGAATCTGTATGTCTTGGTTTCACAATGCTCTCTTTTTTTTTCTTGTTCTAAGCTCCACCACCCGTCTCTGGGGTTCCGCTTCGGGACGGTTCGGGAGAGCAGCGCTGAGGATTACATGAAGAAAAGCTTCCCTGAGATGCACGAGTACATGAGACGCTTCAACAAACCCACCACGCCAGAAGGGGTCGCCACTCTCAAGTAAGAGTCCAATACAGATGGAGAGAATTGGGTGTACAAATGAGCTCCTGTGTCATTGTGTCACGCCCGTATTAGCAACTCCGGGTCCAGGCTGGACTTTTCTATGGTAAAAATGGGCAGAATTTTTGAATATTGCCGCTCTCGTGCCCAGGGCCGTAACTAGGATCCAAATTTCAGTATCTCATTTCCAGTATAACATGGAGAGAGCAAAAACGTTATCTTTTTAATGTAAGTCAATGTAGAGAGAATTTATTCCAAGCAGTTTTGCAGCATTTCTATGGGTTCATTCATCATGAACATTTCACACAGCACACAATGTAAAGGGCGGCTGCTGTGTGCAAATAACATAGGAAAAAAAAATGGAGATACTTGTCTATTTTTTAGGACAGTGAGGTATTTAGAACCATTATAGATGCTTAAAAAAGTTTGTTCATTTACTATATGTAATGAGTATTCACCATTATATAATTAGCAATAAGAAATTTAACAACTGAAGTGAATGTAAAATATTGTTATTGTGCAAAACTGTTAAACTTGGATCTAAACACTATAGATAAGCCTGTGGTGTGTATATGTAAGCATGCAGCAGCTGGTTTGGCAAAAAGTGTGCTGAATGTCATTTCACATCTGAATCACTCAAGTCATTTGAATCATACGTGTCCCGTTCACCCATGCTTACATCGCCAAGCATCGATCACTGCTGTACTAAAGGCTAAAGGCTATCACTACCCCAAGAGAGCAGCAGTTCCTTCCTTATGTCTCTGTAACGTTTGACCCCTCAATAACAACTTAATCTGACATTAACTCAGACTGTAAGTGACCACATAGCAGGAAATGAGTGATAACTGAGACATCCCTGACTCAGACATTCAAGTAATACTTACATTTAAAGTAATACTTACATTTAAAATGTCTCCTCAGCCGCCGTTTGATCCTCTGCTGACGCCGCCATGTTCTTGAATCCTCGCCAGCACGCAAAGAACCTTGGGATATGTTGGCTGGCGAAGGATCCACCCGTTGGATCCTTCGTTGGCATGGAAAAGAAGAACACATTTCTCAGCTGGTAATGATGGAGCCTTTGAAATGGGACAGCCTAGTCGTGACGCTGTGACCTAATCGGCCTTCAAATGCAGCCTCCGAAGGACGCAGCCCCTGAATTGGGACACAGCTAGTCTGATCTTGGCATGAAGCACCTTTGGGTTTCAATATGTTTCAATATGAGCTTTTATCAATAGTTTATTAATAAAAACTGTCAAATCATTATGTACACAAAACCTGCGCATTGAAGCTGAGAGCTGAAGATAAATACCGTGTACACAAAGGATTAACAAGGAGCCGATATAATATACGAATAATCTGCTAAGCAGCAAATCAAACAGTAATTAGGTTCAAAAGAAGGAAAAGTGTCCAAACTTAGATCAGGATGAATAGGAACTACAGTGGCATAGTGCTGAACACAGTGTACGCTTTAATTTAACACTGCTCTCTCTCTCTCTCTCTCTCTCTCTCTCTCTCTCTCTCTCTCTCTCTCTCTCTCTCTCTCTCTCTCTGCCAAGCCCTTATCACAGAAGGCCTGGCTGAGAGTTAGCTATCAGCTCACTGCAGCAAATTAGATTTTACCGAAGGGGGTAAAAAGTGAATTACATTCAGATGGTAGATCAAAACTCTGCTGTTATGAGACTTTGTCTGGGTGAGTAAACTTTTCCCGGAAATGACCGAGGACTGCGAGGCACTGGCGCTCCGGCAGCAACCACAGTTATTAGGCATTCAATGAAAAAAAACAAAAAAAAAGCATCAACAAGAGCGACTAAAACCACAGAAACCCGAGAGGAGAGCATTGCACACTCGAGTCATGCACAGCAAGGTCCCCGAGAAATAAAGCAGCAGAACTAAGACTTTGATCCATATCTTCAAGAACGCAGAGAGGGAGTTTCGTTGAGTAATTGCAGTGTCCAGCGTGAGACGCCCAGGAGCCACTGATCAGAACATAGTGAAGCGTATGATGAAATCAGAACCCACATCCAACCAGAGAGACCGACAAGACTGTACTCCACACCCTGAAGAGCTCTGAGCGATTTACTCCGGGTCTTTGTGTTGGAAATGCAGGCTGCCCTTTTGATCGTTCTTTGCATTCGAATTTTGGAGATGCTTTACTGAGGTCTCATATGTTGTGCAGAGTACTGTGCAAGCGCAATTAGTTTAATTTCTAATTAAAATTTCAGCCATTAAGTACAAGTTGTTAATTCTCAGGAGATTTTTCTGAGGATGTAAGATACACTGAGTCTCCAAAACTGGAGTTCAAAAGCTGAAGCTGCAGAGAAAATGAGGCCCCTAACCACCACCTGGAAGAGCTGGTCGACCCCAAAACTGCCCCCATCAGATAAACAGCACTTAAAGCTCTCATCTCTGAGAGAGAGGAGAAAATCAAGCTGCTTTAGATCTGAAAACATCCACAGGTGTTTCTGTCCATCCTTCCACTGTGAGAAGACGACTCAGCGCTGTGGGTCTGAAAGGATGTGTAGCTGATCAAGAAGAACCTCACTGAGAAAAGGAGACGGACACACCAAACAAAGAAGCTGAACGACGGACTGACCACCCCAGAGTCCAGACCTCAACACCACTGAATGTGTTTGATTACTTCAGAAAATCATCAACCTGCTTCTAAGACTGAACTTTGGAGGCGTGTCTGCAGATTCTTTGAGGAGCTGAATAGCTCCATGGTTTCTGTTTTTTCCTGATGTTGAAAAATTAATAACTTATGTACTTGATGGTCATCTTGACTGGAAATTAAGCAAATGAAGGGTGTCCTCTGACTTTTGCACAGTGCTGTATATAACCAAGCAGGCTTTTGTTGTGGCTCTGAAAAGATTTCTGAATGTCGGTATTTCTAGATGGTGCCCAGAACTTCTGATCTGATAATAAGGGTGCAAACAGTGCCAGGATGTTAGAGTAGCAGCACCAGGTGATCAGTCTACCATGGAGCTACAGTTCGCCTGGTGATTTGTCACAAGGTCCAGGGTCAAGCACAGCAGCTTGATAGATTTCACGGTCTATATCCCAGAGGAAGGGAGTAACAAAGCAGGCACACTCACAAAAATACAGGTGCCAAAAGGGGCTCTTCGGAGTGACACCACTGCAGAACCACTATTGGGTCTCTTAACAACCTTTCAGTGAATAGAACCCTTACTGTTAATAAGACTGTGACTTTTTAAAGATCCTCCACATGATGTGAGAGCTCTATATCAATGAAAAATTTTGCCTAGAACCCTGCGTCCAAGCCAAGAACCTTTATTTTTAAAAAGCTTTTGGAGTGATATCACAGAAGAACCACTTTTGGTTCCCTAAATAATTTTTGAATGGGTAATTCTTTGAAGACCCATTTTTGTAAATGAGAGCAACACTTAAAAGTTTTAAAATTAGGGGTTTTGCGTAGAACCTTTAGGAACCTTTATTTTTGAGAATATGGGCAGGATTTTGAAGTTCCTGTGTTATGTGCTAACCATAAAAGGAGCTTTTTCAGGAGTAGTTTCTATTTGCATGTTAGAAAGTCATTGATTTTATCAGCAGGTGTCAGTTTCTTGAATGGTACTTAAGTCATGTGGTGGTCAGTGTTCTTTTGAGTGGGCTCACCGATATCATGATGTCATCTAAAACTACACATCCCTTACAACTTGTACAAAATGTAGCAGCACGCATCCTAACAAAAACAACACAGAGAGATCACATCACTCCCGTTTTGAAAGAGCTGCACTGGCTGCCTGTATCATTCAGGATAGACTTCAAGGTTCTGCTACTAGTCTTTAAAGCTCAAAACAACCTTAAAGCTCTGCTTACATCACAGAGTGTCTGTCTGTTTATGTTCCAGCACGTAATCTAAGATCTGCAGATAGTGGCCTTCTACAGAGACCCTCTGTACAATACAGAAAACATGGAGAGACTCTTTCAGTTATTCTGCTTCTAAACTGTGGAGCTCAGTTCACCTTTTATTAGACAGTCGAGCTCAGAGCTCACTTTTAAGAAGCACCTAAAAACGTCTCTCTTTAAACTCAGCATTTAACTAAAACTGAACGTCTCGTGGTTTTTATCTTCTAATTTAATCTTCTTCATTTTCTTCTGATTCAAATTAAGTACTAACAATCTTTTCTATAACTGTTTTATCACCTATCTGTAAAGCACTTTGAGTGGCCACCGGCATGAAAAGTGCTATATAAATAAAAAATAAATAAATAAAAATAAATAATTGTTGAATTAGTTGAACATTTCACAGAAGACATTGAGTACATTTACATGCACTTAATAATCCAATAACTGCAAAAACATTGATTTTGTTAGCAATCCGATCAACGTGTTTACATACACTTGAGTAGTCAGACAATGTGAAACTCCAGGTCTATATGAGTCAGACAGTAATCGGATTTCTGCTTTCCAACCAGCCAATAAACTCACAGAAGATGACGTAACAAACGTAATGTAAAATTCACTTTACCTGAAAACATGAATGTACATCATCTAGAAGATGAATATTCAAACCCTTCATTTCGTCAAGCATGTATTTGGTTTCAGTGTCTCTCCAAAAGTGTTTTACTGCGTCTCGCGGCGACGCTGCTCGCTTATTTCCGGTGCTGCCGTCTGGTTTCACACATGCTCAGACTGAGAAATCCGAAAGAAATCAGAGTAAGACTTTTCATGCACCGAGGAATCTGATTACTGAGCTAAAATCCAGTCTCTTTATTGAATTTCTTAATCAGATTTTAGTGCTTTCTCTGATCTGACATCAGAGTGTTTTTTACATGACCATTTGAATAATCAGATAACTGCAGAAATCTGACTACAATCGGATCGCGTGTAAACACACTCAGTGTTGATGAACTGTAACACAGATGGAGCATTTATGAGACCATAGGGCATCACGAGATACTTGTAATGTCCTTTTGTTGTAGATGCAGTCCTTCGTTAATCTGTTCTCAGGTACAGATGAGGCCGTAGGTGTTTCCTAGGCT